CCTTCAGGGTGGGGGTCCTCGCTGGGGTGCCTGGCCTGCCTGGGTGAGGGGCTGATGGCTGTTTTCAGGCTAGCCACAGCCCCTTCAGGGTGGGGGTCCTCGCTGGGGTGCCTGGCCTGCCTGGGTGAGGGGCTGATGGCTGTTTTCAGGCTAGCCACAGCCCCTTCAGGGTGGGGGTCCTCGCTGGGGTGCCTGGCCTGCCTGGGTGAGGGGCTGATGGCTGTTTTCAGGCTAGCCACAGCCCCTTCAGGGTGGGGGTCCTCGCTGGGGTGCCTGGCCTGCCTGGGTGAGGGGCTGATGGCTGTTTTCAGGCTAGCCACAGCCCCTTCAGGGTGGGGGTCCTCGCTGGGGTGCCTGGCCTGCCTGGGTGAGGGGCTGATGGCTGTTTGCGGGCTGGCCACGGCCCCCAGCCACCCAAGCTCCCAGTGGAGGCTGGCTGGAAGCCGGTATCTGGGATTATAATTGAAACTTTGTTGCCTTCAGCGGAGGCCAGAGCCAGCCAGGGCAGGTGGGAAGCTTGGCTTCCTCCATTGCCGGGGCAACCTAGGCCTCCTGCTTCCTCCAGCTCCATGGCTGCCGGCCCCCATCTTGGTTGGGTTAATTTGCATATAGTCGCTCTGATTGGCTGGTGGGCGTGTCTTGGGGCATAGCGAAGGTACGGTCAATTTGCATGTTTCTCTTTTATTAGATTAGATTCTACGTTTTAAAATTTTTCGAGTCGACTTTAAACTGATAGCGTTCACATACTAACCTGGATTTCCTATTTCTCTTGGAAAATGGACAGATGTGGCCACATTGGGTTTCTCTGCTCAACTGTCACTGCCCCTGCAGATAGTACATTCTCCACAGTCCCCAGGACTCTCCAGTCTCCCTGACAGCCAGCGCCAGTCGCCTCTTATCACTGAATTTGCACTATTGTTCTCTTTATAATAAAGAACTTTGCTCTGGCTGGCCAGTGTGGCCCAGTGGTTGAGCATCAATCTATGAACCAGAAGGTCACAGTTCGATTCCTGGTCAGGCACATGCCTGGGCTCCATCCCCAGCAGGGTGCATGCAGGAGGCAGCTGATTAATGATTCTCTCTCATCAGTGATGTTTCTCTCTGTCTCTTCCCCTCCACTCTCTCTAAAAATCAATGGAAAAATATCCTCAGGTGAGGATTAAGAGCAACAACAAAACACAAACAAAGAACTTTGCTCTGAATCTCTGTGTACTAGTATACCAAAAGTTGGGACAGGAAAAGCTGAATGGGTCACATGAATCAAGAAAAATAGGATACTCATTCATTTAATCAATATTGCTAACCCACTATGCCAGGCACAGGATAGGCATGAAGAGAGAGCCATGGACGGCATGAGCGAACATCACTCCCTCCCTGTGGCCTCATTCCAAACACTGTGTAACTTTCTTTCCACAAGTGGAGACATCTGAGTTGCTTCCCAGTCCATGAAAAAGACTGCCTTTTGTATCCAGGGTCACCCCTGAAGACTACAACAGGGTACTCACTAAGCACTTACTATGTACCAGCCCCGTCAGGGTCTGGCACAACCAGAGTGCTCAATCAATATGTACTGAGTGAATGAGCCAAATTCACCTCTCTCCTAGGCAGACTGTGTTAGTCAATGTTGTTTCTCCAGGATTTATCCGAAAGGTAAGCGCATAGTAGGTGCTCACTTAGGGTCAGTTGAAAGAGACAGTCTGGGATAAGAATGGAAGGTTGACAGGCAGACATGGGCTGCCTGAAGGCAGATCCCTGGAAAGGAAAGGGAAGGGTGAGGTGAACATTACCCCCACTGCCAAGCCCACACCCCCCTCACAGGGACCCTAGGAGGTGGTGATAGGATTCTCAGGTGACAGACAAAGAAGCAGGATGGAAAGGAAAGCCCCTTAGCTAAACCTACAGGTTCCAAGAAGGAGTGGAGGAGGAGGTTCATTTGCCCCCCAGGCCCACACTCTCCCCACCCAGCTGGATGCTCCACAGATGTCCCGTGGGGGATGTGCAGGGCCACCCCTTGAAAAACTGTCCTCCTCAACTGGATGCCCGAAAGGCCACCACCAGCAGGCTACCCTACCCCTCTTTCACTTGTGACTTTTGAACTGTGAATTCATTTTTCGGACTCATTTCCTCCTAATCTGTTCCAGCAAACATTCAATATGTGAGGAAGGTGTGTGTGGTTGGGACTACGAGATGTTTATTATGGGGCAGGGAGAGAGCGAAAAAGAAGGGGTCCCGTCCCTGCCCTGACTATGTCAGTAAGAGAAGCTCAGCTGAGTCCTAGAGCCCAAGTGGCAAGCCTCCTGGAGGCCACCAGCGCTCCACAGGTTCTGAGGAGGGTGGGTCTCCCTCCAGCTGGGCCTGGGCACTGGGCAGAGCACGATGAAAGGCTGGGGACGGTCCCAGGCAGAACCTCAGCCAAGGGTGGGCTCTAGGGGGAAGCCGACATGAGCTTCCTGTCCTGGCTGCAGCCAGGCAGGGACTGACTTCCTATGGAGTCCGCGACTCTCCGGCCTTGCTGTACCTGAAATCCGTCCATTTGGGACAAAGATGAGGGTGTTCGCGCCTGTGTAAGCCCCACTGACTAAGGCCTGGCGCCTGTCGGGATCTCGGTGGACTCAGAGCGGTTTCAACGCCCCCTCCTCCACGAAGCCTTCCACACTTTCCGGCCAGAGTTCGGCGCTCTCCGCTTTCCATGGCGGCCCTGCCAGCCCCACTGAAGGCCTGGCGCCTGTCGGGATCTCGGTGGACTCAGAGCGGTTTCAACGCCCCCTCCTCCACGAAGCCTTCCACACTTTCTTCCCAGAGTTCGGCGCTCTCCGCTTTCCATGGCGGCCCTGC